ATTTGTTGAAATTGGTCTTTATTTTAATTATTGTATTGTTTTAAGTGTTTTGCACTAGAAATTAGATATGTGCAGTGTGCATAGGAATGCATGTTTTTTTTCAAATTATAATCCAACCCTCCAACAGTTTGAGGGACTGTGACCTGGCCCTTTGTTTAAAAAGTTTAAGGACCCCTGAATTAAACTATTAAGTCAAGGTATCACTGTATATTTAAACACCTCCCTCAATCACACTCTTCTCTTCTGTCTCCTTCAATGTTTGTCCAGATTCTAAGCTTATTCATTACATTGCTGATCTTCCCGTTGAGGTCTGATGCAGTATTTCAATACTTTCTTCCATAGCTCTTTCTATTTCTTCCCCACTGCAGGTTTTTCCAGATTCTAAGCTTAAACCTCTATCTCTCCCCTCTCTTCCTATTCTTCAAATCTGGTCCAGTGATTCAATGGTTTATTCTGTAGCTGTCTTCTTGTTCTTCTCATTGAACCTTAATGTAATATTTAAACACTTCCCTCCACAAGCCCTTCTTTTTTCCTACTCCTTCAATACACTGTTCAGTTTCTAAGGTCTTCCCTCATCACTTCATTACTAGTCTTCCCATTGTAGTCTGATCAAGTCTGTCAATGCTTCCCTCCATAGATCAGTTTGTTTCTTTCCCATTGCAGACTTTTCCAAAATCTAACCTTTTTTCATCTCTTCCCTACTTTCATTCTTTTTCAAACCCAATCCAGTGTTTCAACAATTTATAACATCACTCCTGTTCTCCTCATTGATCCCTAATTTAATATTTAAACACTTCCCTCCTCACACTCTTATTTTCCTTCAGTGCTTATCCAGAATCCAATCATCATGTAATTACTGATGTTCCCATTGAAATTTGATCCAGTATTTTCAGAACTTTCCTCCATAGCTCCCTTTGTTTCCTTCCCATTGAAGATGTTTCCAGACCAGTTTTGCTTTTTCCTCCATTGCTCCCTTATCTATCTTCTGATCAAACCCATCCAGATTTTCAACACTTTCTCCTTACTACCCAGATTTTCTTTCTCGTTGCAACATGTCCAGGTTTTAAGGACTTTCTTCCCCCACTTCTCTGAAATCTAAGGTCTTTCCTTCATGCATTCCCATTGAAGTCTCATCCAGTCTTTAAATATTTTCCTACCATCTCACACATCTTTACCTTTCCATTGCATTCTGATTCATAGTCTAAGATTTTTCTTTTATTATCTTCTCACCAAAGTCTGACCCAATATTTCAATATATTCATCCATAGCTTGTTTCTTTCCATTGAAGCTTATTTAGAATTGAGGGTCTTTCCACTATCACCTGTTCCAAGCCAAGCCTTACCCAGTATTTCTATAGTCTGGTTGATAGCTCTTTTTTGTACTCATTGATCTCCAATCCTGTAGTTAATCAGTTCCTTCCACAGCTCCCTCATTTTCCTTTCATTGCACAGCTAATACATAGTTATCTTGGCCTTATTGAAATCTAATCCAATATTTAAACATTATGTCAATAGTTATTTTCTTTTTCTTCTCATTATTGGCTTATTTAGAGCTTTATCTGTCTTCCTAGTCGGGTATGATCCAGTATTTCATCATTTCCTCCATAGCTCTCTTCTCTTCTTTTCCTTCCTTTGGAGGCTTAACCAGAATTTCAGAATTTCCTTCATCACTTCCCTACATACTTTTCCATTGAAAGCCAGTCCAGTAATTAAATACTTTGATCCATATCTACCTTCTTGGTTCCTCTCATTGAACCCTAATTCAGCATTCAAACACTTCCATCTCTAGCTTCCTTCTTTTCCTTCCCATAGAAGGTTTATCTAGAGCAGTGGTTCTCAACCTGTGGGTCCCCAAATGTTTTGACCTTCAACTTCCAGAAATTCTAACAGCTGGTAAACTGGCTGGGATTTCTGGGAATTGTAGGCCGAAACACCTGGGGACCCACAGGTTGAAAATCACTGATCTAGAGTCTTGGGTCTTCCTTTCTTCACTGCCTTACTTATCTTTCCAGCGATCTTATCCAGTATTCAAACACTTCTTTCCATAGTTCTATTACTCTCATTGAATCCTATTATAGTATTTCAAACCTTTATCCAAAGCTCTTTTCTATTATGTCCTGTAGCAAAAATAATGTTAAAAATTTCCATTATCAACTTACCTACCTTCTGATCCAGTACTTCAATACTTTTCCTTTTCATTGAACCATAATCCAGTAGTTAAACCTGTTGTCCATAGGGACCTGTCTTTTCCTTCCCTTTTCATACTAATTCATATTCTAAGGTCTTCCTTTACTTCCCTTCATAGCACCAATTCCTTTTCCATTGAATGTTCAGATTCTAAGGAATTTCTTCCTTCACTCCTGTTACCTATCTTCTCATCAAAGTTTCAACCAGTATTTCAGCAATTTCCTCATTGCCCCCCTTCATGTATTATCTAGTTATGAAATTATTTCCTCAATAACCCCTTATTTACCTTCCCATTGAAATCTGATCCAATTTTTCAACACTTTCATCAATATCTCCCTTATTTTTCATTCACTTCAAGTCTCATCTGGTTTTTAAATGCCTTCTTCCATTATCTTATCAAAGTCTAATCTAATATCTCAACACTTTCCGTCATAGAACCCCTAATTTCTAACTAATTGCAGGCATTTACAGACTGTAGGGTCTTTCTTCCATCGTGACCTTACTTATCTTCCCATCAAAATCTGATGTGGTATTTCAATACTTTGATGCATAACTTCCTTCCTGCCTTTCTCATTCAATCCAGTGCAGTATTTAAACACCTATTGCATTCTTACCTGCAGTATAATTGATTTCTCCAGACACTCCATTTACCTTCCCAGCCATGTTTCATCTTTTCCTTCTCATTGAAGCCTCACCTAGATTTCATTTCCCACATCTTCCAAGAAACTCTGTCCAGTATTTAGGCACCTTCTTCCATCACACCCTTGCATATAGAAGTCTCATCTAGTATTGAAACGCTTTCCTCTGTAGACTCCTTCTCCATCTTACCATTTGAAACCTGATCTAGATTTTAAATTCCTTCTTGCATTACTCTTGTATCTACTATCACATCAGTTTCATCCTGATTGTATACTTCTTGCCTCGGTGCTCTTTTGAAACTCATCTAGTACTTAAACTCCTTCCTTCATCTCTCCTTTTTCATTTGAAATTGTATCCATAATTTTGTTTCTAGCCCCATTTCTCCCTTGCACACCTTCCAATCAAAGCATCACCCAGATTTTTAAAGTCTTTGCTCCATTGCTCACCAAGTCTCATTGAAGTCTTCTAATGAAAGTTCAGTGAGAACGTTAGTAATAGAGCTATGGAGGAAGGCCATTATAAACGACTTCCTCCATCATTCCCATACCCATCTTCCAATTGAAACTTCATTTAAACTCCTTTCTTCTTCATTCTTTTCCTTCCATTCAAAACCTCATTCGTATTTCATCATCACAAATCATGTTAGCTTGTATTTCTCAATATTTTATAGCATCACCTCTGTTGTTTTGTCCTTGTTTGAATTGGAATCTAGCGATTCCTGCAGAATCTAAGTGTTGTGGATAGCATGGAAGAGGGTTTGCTGAGTGTGGGCTAGGTTGTTGAACTAGATCTCAGGCAGGAACAGCAGCCTCCCTCAGCCACATACAGAAGTGACAACTACTGAGCCTGCTGCTGGCCAGACACAAGAGGCTTCAATTAAGCAGGCAAAGAAAGCGGTTAGCTGTGCCTTCCTCAGCTAAGGAGATTAGCAAGGCTTGCTGAGAAGAATGCTGACAATCGGGTTCAGCACTTTAGGGCTTGTAGCGTGTTATCCGATTGCTGGCTGCAACTTCTGTATCCATGCCCTGGGCCTTGGAATCTTGACTCTTGTGCACGTTTTGGAATTTGGACTGCTCCTGAATTTTGGCTCTTGATTTGGCTTTCCCTTCTACTTGTTCTCCTGGGTTCTGTTTCTACTTTGGACTTAATTGACTTGGCCTAGGACTGTACTGTTGTACTCTCCTGTCAATATTTTGAGTTCGAGGTTCTTGACACTAGGTTGAGAACCTATGCTCTGGCAACTTTATTGTTATTTTGCCCATGTCAATAGAATTTAGGTGGCCTTTATTGACTGTTAGAATATATTGGGCTAGCTCATGACTTTTCTTTATGCACCTGGAGTATAGCGAAGAACATAAATTGTTCCACATACACTTTATGGTGGGGTAGACTTTTGATGCCTGATTTTTTAAAATGGTAGAAATCAATTCGATTTCCTGTTTTGGCGCTGTGGTGATGTCAGTCAAATTGTGCTACTGGAGAATGTTCAAAGGAATGTATCAAAGGTTTATGCCAAATCGTGCTGCCTTCTTAAGACAATAACTCCACTTTATCCTTTATAATGCTGCCATGTATACCCTACACCCGCTTTGGAAAATTTGGGGTCCTTACGGTAAATATCTTTGTATGGATGGCAGCTATGTAGTTCAGATGGCTTATTTCTGAGGAAATACGTATATTTTAGCTACCTTTGGTAAATTTACTGATTTTAAACTTTTTTTGAGGAGGTGATGAATAAAGTATAACAAACCCTAACAAATACTTTCTCCCATACCATTGTCAATCCATCTTCTGAGGTCAATATCTGATGCTTTTCTTCAGGTGCCACTGCCTTCTGTGACCAAGTTGCTGATGTTTTCATTGGTGCTCCCACTCTGTGAAATGGTCTCCCAGAGTATGGAGCAAATATTTTTACTCCTCTTACCTATACTTTCAAGATTATATGTGTTACTGTTTTTTAAAAAAAATTGTATATGTTTTTGCATCTGCCTTTTGTATTGACGTTCACCTCTTGAACCTAAAGGTTCAGATTAAAAAAATAATGCAGAGTTCAGTAAGTGATTGACTTATATAAAGTCTAGGAAACTTTGTGAAGCCACTACCTTGGATTTTCATTGCAGTAAATCTTTTTAGAAATTGGAGTTTGTAACATTGAATGAAAAATGTGAGATATAACATTGCGCTTTAATTCCTAGATGGTAGTGAAAACATTTATGGATATGGACCAGGACTCAGAAGATGAGAAACAACAATATCTCCCTTTAGCATTGCACCTTGCATCAGAATTCTTCCTCAGGAATCCCAATAAAGATGTCCGTCTTCTTGTAGCATGTTGCTTGGCTGATATCTTTCGAATTTATGCCCCAGAAGCCCCTTACACCTCCCATGACAAACTCAAGGTAAAAGTGTTCAAAAATAATTTCCACCTGTTCATTTGTACTGTGGGTAGAAATTCTTTTGTTTTGAGAAACAGTAGTTAAAACAAACCACCATTTGTCTGAGTTTGGGCATAAAAGGGTGCTGTTCATACAAAATAGGGCTTTGCTAGAAGAGCGGATGGTGGGCAGTGCAGTTTGCCTGTCCCCAGAATGACAGTGTATCAGTTCATCATTATGTTCAAAGTAGATCATTGGGAAGTTCTCTGCTGGCAACAATTTTTTTCGTATGTAAAATGCATTTTTAAAAAGCATTTTCAATTTTCTTTTTTTGCAGGATATATTCTTGTTTATTACAAGGCAATTAAAAGGTTTGGAGGACACGAAAAGCCCTCAATTTAACAGATACTTTTATTTACTAGAGGTAATGTTTTCTTTTACATTTGTTTTACATTTCCAGTCAAGTGAGCATAATGTCAAGGTGCTATTTTCATAAACGTATTTTATTATTAGTGCATTCTCTGTAAAAATAAAGAGAACAATATACTTATCACTCTGATCCTAGATTTCTTCCAATGACATTTTATTATAAAGAGTATGTCAAGATGCGAAGCTATTTCGATATTGTGAGAGCAGAAGCGTATACTTTTCCTAAATGAGAAATGCTCTGAATTTGAATGTGGTAGCTAGCAAACCACTCAATAAAATTCTGCATAGCTCATACTAGAGCACTACTTTGAAGGATATGATGGTTATCAGCTGCATTTTTAGTAACCCGATGCTTTGTTTTTGTTGTAGAATTTAGCTTGGGTTAAATCTTACAACATCTGCTTTGAGTTGGAAGATTGCAATGAGATTTTTATTCAACTTTTTAGGACTCTCTTTTCAGTTATCAAGTAAGTTACTTTACTTTAAACTCCTGTCCAATCTTTGTACCATGCAGGTTTCTGGGGGTAGAAAAGAATATAGCAGAAATAACAGAATTGTGATTACTAAATTATAAATGTGATGATCCTTTTATATTAAAAGGTGGGACAAGCAAGACTAAAATGCATTTTATGGGTTGCTAAGATAATTGCTGTAGTGAAAACATGGCGGGAAACCTCATGTCCCCAGCCAAAACTATACTTACCTTTGGAACAGGCCATTGTATCTTATGGATATAAAGACAAGTTCTCAGAGTTCTGCCACATGGTTGCTGCTTCGTTATGTCAATAATCACAGAAGGCTGTAAACATTGAGTTTAACTCATAAAATCATAGAATCATAGTTAGAAGAGACATTTTGGGCCATCCAGTCCAACCACCTGCCACGAAGCAGGAAAATCACATTCAAAGCAACCCTTAGCTTCCATTAAGTCCTGTGGAATGAAATAATCTACTATGGTTGCAAATTGAGAAGATATCTAGAGAGGAAGCAGAATCTTGTCCCAGACCCAGCTATAAGAAATTAGAGTTATCCTGCCAAATGCAGAGTATTGCAACTCTTTTATGTTGTAAAATTGAGTGGCTGCTATTCCTTCCTGTTTCATAAGGTGGGGAAATGCTGTAGTTAGAGGTAGTGCTACATTGGGAGGAAAGTCCAACTCTTGTCCCAGAAACTGCAATGAGAGCGATAGACTGGAGTTGTTAGGGTCTTCTGTAACATCAGTCCTCTACTACTTATAAGAATAAAGTAGTGATAAGAGGTGATAGTACTAAAAGTGGACAAAGCTGACTTAGATGGCAGTTTGATTTATTAGAAGTGTTGTAGAACTAGAACTTCCTAGACCTGAGTGTGAAGAGCTGTCTCAGTAATTCTGACTGGGCTTAGGAGAGAAGTTTCAAATACAATACTGTATTGTATTAAAAGAAGTGATGTTAAAGAATGTGTAACTTAATTCTCTAGTTTTAGCAGCTAGATAGTCCGTTTTGAACTGTTTAACACATATATTCTAATTCTAATGTTAATGTCACGTTTAGTAATAGCCACAACCAGAAAGTGCAGATGCACATGTTAGATTTGATGAGTTCTATCATCATGGAAGGCGATGGAGTGACACAAGAACTATTGGACTCGATTCTTATCAACCTCATTCCTGCACACAAGGTTTGCAAAGGTTTTTTTTCCCCCAGTGTCCTTTTCCCCTTCTCTTCCATAGTATATTGTTATCCTTCTGTCTGTTGTATATTTTGATTACTGAATGGCAGAAGTAAGCAGAAGCTTATGCTGGCCACTTCCTTCCTTTGCTTGTTATTTTGGTGTAGTTTCTCCCATACTAGGAGTAAGGTGGGCTATAAATTAATTAAATAAATAAAAATAGTTGCTTCCCATATAAGCATTTTGATTTATAGGAGTAATACAGCCTTGACTTGAGGGATAACCTGCTCCTATCCTTATCTCAATCGAGTTTTTTTAACATTTTGTCACTGTGATTGTGATTATTGTAATGTTATTTTGTTACTGTATTCATATGTTTTTTAATGTAATTTTAATGCTGTTGCTTGTTGCTTATGTTTTGGTTTATCTTGCTGTAATGTGTTGTCCGGGCTTGGCCTCATGTAATCTGCCCCAAGTCCCCATTGGGGAGATGGTGGCGGGGTATAAATAAAGATTATTATTATTATTGTTATTATTATTATTATTATCATCCTCATCATCATCTTATAGACAAAAATCAATGACTGGGATGTGCTATAGGGTGAGATAGATGGGTTTATGGCTGGCTCCATAGAACTGGCAAAGGACTTTTATGGAGCCTTGGGGAGCTGTTTTACAAGAAATCTGTTAAAATTGAGGTATCGGGTGATTTTCAGTGTGTATTTATAGGATCTGAATCAGAAAATGTACTATAGCACTTCTTAATTGAACATGAAGTTTTGATATTGAGTTCACAAAAATTTGGGTGCATATGAAACTACTATTGTATTTAATTATGCTTAACTTTTTACCCAAACGAGGGGGCACGAGACTATGTAAACTTATTCACCCTCCTCTCCTTATTCAAGAAGTAAACCATTTTTGTCAATGGATGACTCAAGAATTTTGGAAGTACATATGGTATTCACATGTATAAGATAAACTTTTTAGAAACTGTACTTTAATTGGGTTGTTGTAGGTTTTTTCGGGCTATATGGCCATGTTCTAGAGGCATTCTCTCCTGACGTTTCGCCTGCATCTGTACTTTAATTTTCATTGAAATCCATCTATCTATAGATATCAGACAATATTTCTTGATACTGTTTATAACAGCTGCATTTTTTCTTTGTCTTTGTATTCTAGAACCTTAATAAACAGGCATTTGATCTTGCTAAAGTTCTGTTGAAAAGGACGGTCCAGACGATTGAGCCTTGTATTGCCAATGTATGTAATATATTTATCAGCATACCAGTGATTACCTCTGCCTTAAACTGTTTGGACATTTTTGTGTAAATCTATCAAAACATTGGAAATTGGGGTTGACATAGTATAAACATTGTAGACTCATTACATTATATGCCATGAAAAAGCTTGGAATTTACACTTTAGTTCTAACCTAAAGTTCGTTGAAGTAGAGTAACCATTTTATGATATGAAGATTTCACTGAAAAACCTTCAGATTATTGTTAATTTGTGTTTGTGCTTATTTATTCATTTATCTCACCCTTATATGAGAAATAATTATTTCATATGCACAGCACAGGAAGGATAGGTGGGAATGGCAGAACTTGGTTGCTTACCAATGCCAGCTCATATAAGTGTATAGTTGTTTTATTTATTTTTAAAAACATTCTTAACAAAAATATTTTCTCTTCTAGTTTTTTAACCAGGTTCTGGTACTAGGAAAGTCTTCTGTAAGTGATTTGTCAGAGCATGTATTTGACCTAATACAAGAGCTTTTTGCTATTGATCCTAGTTTATTGCTGTCTGTCATGCCACAGCTTGAGTTCAAACTAAAGGTAAGAGAAACTATTCTCACATTAGTGAAATTGATTTTATATGTTAAAAAATGCAGTGATCCTTAACATGTGTCTTTAAGTGACAATGGCAGTGTCTGTACTTTAGTCGGGTTCCAGAGAAATCGTTCCACACGTCTTTGGACTTTGTGAAATAGAAGCATTATGTGCTGTGTTACAAACCATTTTGAAAACTTGAGAGAACAAATAGAATTAGTCGATGATATGGCATGAAATTCTCTCTTGGTAAAAAAGAGTAAAATTCTGACCATGAGATAGTCAAAAGCAGTGTTTGGATGAGTGTCTTGTGCAATAGAATGATGAAATGGTTTGTTGCAGTTTCATTATAAGTCAAAGTTCACCAAAGATTATTCTCTGGTTATTTATTTATTTATTTATTTATTTATTTATTTATTTATTTACAGTGTTTACAGAGTCCCCTTGTCACCCTGCAGGAGACTCGGGCAGATTACAATGCACATATACATGGCAAACATTCAATGCCAATTAAACATACAACATATACAAAGGCAATTTAACATTCCATGAGAGTATGCTCGATTCCAGCCATAGGGGGAGATGCTGCTTCACCGTTCATTTGTGACATCTAGTCCTTTGATGAAGTACTTCCTCGTTCTTCTGAATGCTGCTGGAAGGTTTCATGGCGTCGTAAATTAGTTAAATTAGCCTTCCCGCTTAAAGGAGTACCTAAATTTCCTACTTGAGAGATGCAACTGTCTTTCAGGCTGCAAAGGTTGACAGCAAGCTAGACTAATGGCTGGAACCTCACTCCGACCCGGGTTAGCTTCGAACTCATGACCTCTTGTCAGTAGTGATTTAATGTAGTTGGCTATCAGCTAGCTGCACCACAGCTAGTGTTAGTGGTTATAATATAGCAAACTCATAAGAATATATTAGGATATTAAATCTGAGACTTAAAACACCTATTATTAGTTTTTTATTGTTTAAAGAAAGAATTATATAAGTTGCATGAACTTGACACTTAGATATTTCAGGGTTTTGGTTTTTTTAAAAGTTATTACACAATAGCTGTTCTTCCTTTTTTCAATTTATAGAGTAATGATGGAGAGGAACGTTTAGCTGTTGTAAGGCTTTTAGCTAAGCTGTTTGGTTCTAAAGATTCTGACCTTGCAACACAAAACCGTCCACTTTGGCAGTGCTTTCTTGGCCGGTAAGAAAACATATGTTTATATATTTGATTATATTGGTCTCATAAGCAGCTGTTTTCCAATAAGTTCTCTTTCCATAAAACAAATCTTCTGAAATATTTGATTTCAGTATGGTCAGGCCATTGTCTGCTAGTTATCATTAGATCAAGTTCTGTTTTAAGAAAAGGGCATATGAAGTTTCATAACATGTTAGAACCAACATTAGAAAGTCTTGGTGTTGGTTATAATTTTAATGAGAGATAAAGTCTCTCTTTTATACAATAACTGTTTTTCATTCTTTGAAATGATAACTATACAATAAATCTATCTAAGAGTTTTGTGTTCTTTTGACAGGTATATACACTCGCTATGTTTTGCTCTTCAGCTTTTATTGTAGTTATTTACCTATTTCAGTGCAATTAACTGCAAATATTAGCATGCATACTGTTGAATAGGCTTGTTTGATTTTAAAAAATGGTTCAAAACTCATTTCAGATATTGGGGGGAAGCTGGTAGTTCGGATATAAAATCAATTCCGATTTTCACAGAAAAAAAAGTTCAAAACTTTGCAAAACTTCCGAGACTTCTGAATCCTTCGTTAATGGTTTCAAAGTGTTATTTCCTGTTTCATTGGGTGGTCTTTACTTTGAAAGTAGTTGTTTTACTCCGGAAAGGGGGGGGGGAGCAAAAGGAAGAAATCCATCCACTCTGGTTAAAACCGCATCTCTCGCTTAAGACTGACGCGGGAGGGAAAGGAAAGGAAGGGAATCCATCCACACTGATTTAAACTGACACAGATCCATCCACTTTGGTTAAAACCGCTTGTCTTGTGGGAGGGAAAGGAAGGGAATCCATCCACACTGGTTTAAACTGACTCTGGAGGGAAAGGAAAGGAAGGGAGTCAATCCACAGTGGTTTAGAATGCTACTCTGGCTTGAACCGAGGCCAGGAAACAGAAGCAGGGGAAAAGTGGAATCATTTCCGACTCACTGATTTGTAAGAGAAATGGCGGAAAAGGCTTCGGAAGGGCAAAGGACTTCTGGTTTCCTTAAAAACTTCAAAATCGCTTCAAAAAGGAAATCTTTCCAAATTTATTCCGAATTACGAAGATTCTGACCGAACCTAACCATGCCTAATGTTTAGCTGTTTGTATTTGAGCTTATTTTCCTTTCCTGTTTGGCTTATTCTTAATTATGTTCACTCTTAACTATGCATTTTATTTACCTGTTTTAAATAATATTTCAAATAATTCTGACCTAATATCTTTCCTTCACCTAGATTTAATGATATCCATGTTCCTGTGAGATTAGAAAGTGTGAAATTTGCAAGTCACTGTTTAATGAACCATCCAGATTTAGCAAAAGATCTCACTGGTAAGAGTCTCTCTTGTTTTTGAGTAATTAAACTAAGGAGTAAGGGGATAATGATTTCAGGTAAAGGTGGAAATACCAATACAATGATTAAAACATTAATGTCTAATGTGATTATTTTATTCAACTGAAGGATTAAAAATACAATCGAAGGCATTTTTTCTACCAGGAGTAGGGGCTGATGTGGGGATTCACATATTGTGCACTGTTCAAGATACAACATGAGGATGAGTTGATGCTCAAAATATACTGAATCTTTCAATACAATTATCCTGTTTTTTTCTCTTTTCCTTTTTCTTTGATACACAGAGTACCTAAAAGTTAGATCACATGATCCAGAAGAAGCCATTCGACATGATGTCATTGTTACAATAATAACTGCTGGTAAGAGGGACCTCTCTTTGGTCAATGACCAGCTACTAGGCTTTGTCAGAGAGAGAACGCTGGACAAGAGGGTAAGATGAACTGAAATCCATATTTTTAGCCAAAATGACATTGTTATTTAATTTTATGAGGCCATTAATATTTTAATTTGCAAGAAGCTTATGCACCCGTTTGGCCAAAATGTTATTGTACAGTCTGGCACTGTTCCCTTAAGTCATTGAACAGTAGCCCTGTCAGGCTTCGGTCTTAAAAAACAAATGTTTATGAACTTATTTTTATATTCCACTTGAACAGAAAATAACATTATAATAATGGCTCTTCTGATTTAAATTACTGTTATTGGCTATAAGCATGCCTACAATTAAAACATTTTAAATACAAAAATTTCTTCTACAGTTCTAGAGCAAAACAATTTTGACATTCAGCTTTTTTTGTTTTTAAGTGGCGAGTAAGAAAAGAAGCCATGATGGGCCTTGCCCAGCTATATAAGAAATACTGTCTTCATGCTGAAGCTGGGAAAGACGCAGCGGAGAAAGTGAGCTGGATTAAGGATAAACTTTTGCACATATATTATCAGAATAGTATCGATGACAAGTGAGTTAATTTTAAGCCATTTTCCTAAAATTCAATTGTATAGCAGAATGATCTGCATCTGTTCCAAAAAAGAAGTTAAATAAAATACCCTGGGTTCAATTCTACCATCACGGAAACTATAGCTTGTATATAGGGAATAATCTCTGGAGTTGCATATTTCTTTCATCTCCCTTTAAAGAACTGGAATTTCTGAAATGGACAAATTGTGACTTAACTCCCAACGTAAGCCTCAGTCCATATTAGAGTTCCCTATCTGAATCCTAAATTGAGGACAAAGTATGCTTAATGTTAGCTGGTTCATATGAACCATATATTATGGAAAACTTACAAAAAAATTCAATTTATAATAGAACTGGGATTTTTTTTTATCGTGTCAGAAGCGATTTGAGAAACTAGAAGTCGCTTCTGGTGTGAGATAATTGGCCGTCTGCAGAGACGTTGCCCAGGGGAGGCCCGGATGTGTTATCCTGTGGGAGGCTTTTCTCATGTCCCCACATGGGAAGCTGGGGCTGATAGATGGGACGTCACCCTGTCTCGTGGATTCGAATCGCCGACCTTCAGCAGTTCAGCCAGCACAATAATAATACAGAAAATCAGAAACTGAAATCCAGTCATTGACCAACGCAGTCAGAATCTTCAGCACTGACATCAGTATGGAATTCGGCCTAGACAAATGTGCCACAAGGGAGAATTACTCACAGTGAGGGCATAGAGATGCCAAACGGACAAACCATAAAATGCAATTAGCCTGAAGCATATAAATATCTGGGCATACTAGAGTTGGACAATATCAAACATGGGCATGTGAAAAATATGGTCAGCAAAAAATATGTCCAAAGGGTCATTTGGAGAGCAAATTAAATGGCGGAAATACGATCAAGGCTATCAATACCTGGGCTATCCCCATCATCGGATACACTGCTGGAATTGTGAACTTGACACAAGCAGAGCTGGATGATCAGGACAGAAAAACAAGAAAACTGATGACAATCCACAGTATTCCCTCGCTACTTTGCGGTTCGCTTTAAGCGGACTCGCTGTTTCACGGGTTTTTGAAAATACAATATTTACGTCCAGTGGAGGCCAGGGACCTCAGAAGTGTGGCGGCCTGAGGCGCAGCGGGGAAGGCCTGTCCCTGGCCTCCACAGACCCCGGAAGTGCAGCGGCCTGAGGTGTGGCAGGGAAGGCCTGCCTCCTTGGCCTGTTGCTGCCTGCATGGCTCCAAAGGCTCTGCAGAGATCAGGAAGGCAGGCAGACTCCCCTGGGTTGGGCCGGGAGGTGGGTAAGGAAGTGCAGGTAAGAAAATAATATATATATATAATAATGTATACATTTTTAAATTAATATTACGTCCCTACTTCTCAGATTTTCACTTATTGCGAGTGGTCCTGGAATGGAACCCCCGCAATAACTGAGGGAACACTTCTAGTTATTATATCCGGGTGGTGATGTCGACAAGACTTTACCTGCCCAGAAAATCAGGAGGCAGAGGGCTTCTGCAAGTGAAGCAAACGGTAGAAGAAGAGAAACATGCACTGGCAGATTATGTGAAAGGCAGTCAAGAACCAGCATTGAGGGAAGTCAATAGTAGAAAACCGGTTCAAGTGCAAAAGTGAATAATGTAAAAATACAATGCAAAGCAGAAGAGAAAACTGGCAAAAAAAGGCTCTCCATGGACAGTTCGTGGGAAAAATTGAGAGCAAAATTGTCAAAGAAAAAACATGGATGTGGCTCACCAATTGAACTTTGAAAAAGGAGACCGAGGGCCTGATTCTTGCAGCCCAAGAACTGGCAATTAGAACAAATGCCATCGAATCCAGAATTGAAAAGTCAATGACAGATCCCAAGTGTAGACTCTGTAAGGAAGCAGACGAAATGATAGATCACATCTTCAGCTGCTGCAAGAAGATTGCACAGACAGACTACAGACGTTCATACTCTCTTTCATATATGAACAGTCAGATGTGTCCTGTTGGCCCTTGAGATCAGATGCAATCGTTCCGTGAGATGCATGGAAATGGGCTGCAGTCTGTCTCAAGCCACAGGTTCTTTAACCTCTGTTTTGTAGTCCTTTTTTAAAAATGGAAACTTAGACTTCTGGTGACCCCTTGGTTAAAATTCTTGGCCCTTTGTCAAGAATAACAAAAGTACATCCAGTCCTTGCACTGAGTTAGTTTTTTTCCATATATATAGAGAGAGAGAGCCGGGGGGGGGGGGGGGGTACTTTGCTATTGATTTTGTCCTTAGATAAAAAAAAAAGTCTCCCTTCCTAAGCAGGAGCAAACAAATTTATTCCTTTATCTTAGTAAAGGGGGTTACTGTATATACCTGAGTGTAAGCCTAGTTTTTCAGCCATTTTTATAGGCTGAAAAAGTTATACTCGGGTCAATGTTATTTATTATTTTACTCTATTATTATTACATTTATTTTTTACTCAATTATTATTACATTATTATTTTACTTTATTATTATTACATGTATTATTTGACTATTGTTATTATTACATTTATTATTTTACTCTGTTATTACTGTTATTACATTTCCATTATTTTACTCTATTATTATTATTATTATTATTATTATTATTATTATTATTACATTACGTTACTCTCTTTATTCTTATTGGAAGGATACATAAGCACATTTACGTTGAAGAAGGTTAGAATCAGAGTTGGACAGTCTTATCTTAAATTACAGTGTTATGTAAATATTCAAAAACATTTAACTTTCTGATGCCTCAGTTAATGTAATGTTATTGGTATCTGTTTTTATTTTAAAACTGACCAGTAGCTTCTGTATTTCCCACCCTAGGCTTATACTCGAGTCAATACATTTTCCCAGTTTTTGTGGTAAAATTAGGTGCCTCGGTTTATATTCGGGTTGGCTTATACTCAAGTATATATGGTATATCTGATATTCTATATTCTTTTCAGTAGGAATAATTGGGGGGGGGGGGGTTTGGGGGGGGGTTGTATTTGGAGGAGGAACATATGTATGTAAAAGTTGAAAGCATGATCAACAAGAGGTGCATCTACACCATATCATTAACGGAGTTCAGCACCACTTTAACTACCATGACTCAATGCTACGGAATCGTTGGAGTTGGGTTTTAGTGAGGAACCAGCACCATTTGACAAAGAAGACTAAAAACCTTGTTTAATGCAGCATTGACCCATGGCAATGAAAGTGGTATCAAACTCTACTCTACAATGTAGATGCACCCCCTGGACACCTAGATTAATATTTATAATTTGAAAGCTAAACAATTTTGTATAAATCACCAGTTCTCAATTTCTTTTCTTTTGCAGATTACTGGTAGAGAAAATCTTTGCTCAATATCTTGTTCCTCATAATTTGGAAACAGAAGAGAGAATGAAATGTTTATATTATTTGTATGCTAGCTTAGACCCAAATGCTGTTAAGTGAGTATTCATTTACAAAGCAATTTGAAATGTTGTTAAAAGTAGAAATGTGGCTATATAATATCTAATATGAGTAGATTAGCAGCATAATAACTATCAAATGGAGTGAGGAGTCTGTCAATCCTTTTTGGTCTGTTGTGTGTGTGTGTGTGTGTGGTTAGTTTTTTTTCTACTTTGTCATTTTTAATTGTTATAATTTAAATGTTTGTAATAATGGTGTATAAATTGTATGGTTTCATATACCTAAAAATTGTTTTGTCTTGTTTTTTTCCTTACATTAAAATTAATTTTAAATCTAGCTAAGAGATGAGGAGAAATCAAGATCTACTTATACACAAAGATCATTAAAAGAAATGTGTCCTGTCTGGTTGTTGAAAGAAGCTAGTTGGCTAGTAAAAACGGAGACACCCTATTAGTGACCCAGAGAACTTCAGAGTTGTTTGTAGACTCATACTAATTGATTACATTTTAATGTTTGTTATTCTTTTTTCTCTTTTTTTACACAGGGCACTGAATGAAATGTGGAAGTGCCAGAACATGCTTAGGAGTCATGTACGGGAGTTACTAGACTTGCATAAGCAGCCCCTTGTAAGTTTAAGATTAATGTTGCTATTTCATTATTTTGCAGTGATGTCTCATAATCTCAGAAAGTAGTAACATTTGCGACATTCATAAGTATATGGTGTCACTTCACTGCTGTTTAAATTCTTACTTTAAACTTTCTAATATTCTTGTGTGAACAAACTACCAGCAGCACTTAATATAGTAAATTAAGAGTACTACATGAGCAAAAGTTAATTTTTTCTATTATGTGAGGAACGAAAATTACATTTGTCCTTTTAATAGCTTCACAACTTATCTTCATATTTCGTGGCCCAATTCTTCCAGTTCATTATCTGATAACCATATATGTGTACTTATTCCCAAATCTTAAAAGTAAAGTGGCTATGAGGAAGGAAGAGATGCAGAAAAAAAAAAATAAGCAGGTCAGGCATGCATGCCTCAGGGCAGATTTTCAATGTGAATGCTCACTCTGAACTTCTCTTTTCAGTCAGAAGCAAACAATTCTGCTATGTTTGGAAAGCTGATGACCATAGCAAGTAAGATACATAGACCAATATTAAAAATTTCAAAACAGCTTTGAACATTGCTAGTGTGAGTTATATTTTCGCATTTTAATTTTGTAGAAAACCTTCCTGATCCTGGGAAGGCGCAGGACTTTGTGAAAAAGTTTAACCAGGTTCTTGGTGATGATGAGAAGCTCCGTTCTCAGCTTGAACTTTTGATCAGTCCTACATGTTCCTGTAAACAGGCAGATGTTTGTGTGGTAAGAGTTGTTCAGTTTGTTTCCAATATAGATGTTACCAAGATGCTTATATAGCATTGCCGGGACTAATTTTTTGACTTATGACTTAAAGCGAATTCCTGTATAGGCAGTCCCCGAGTTACAAACATCCAACCTACAAGCGACTCCTAGTTAAGAATGGAGGTGAGACAACAGGAAGTGAGAAGAAATCTACCAGGAAGGGAAATTCACTCCTGTAAGATTTATCATGCGGAAAGGTGTCTCCACTGAAACTTTGTCGCTAATCCTTGTTTCCACAGCAACCCAAATGTTTCAATAGCCAATTGTCACAGGGACAGAAAATGAGGTGAAATCTTATGAATGGGCCCAGACAGCAAAACAAATGTTACCGGGGTGTAAAACTTTGATTTAGGACTGACTGCGTTCCCTCATTTCTCTTTGAAAATCCTATACCAGTCATATCCTACCTTGTTCTTGCCCAGCGTTATTTTGTAAATGTTAAACTATTACATTTGGCCCGGCCATACGTTTTTAAATGCTTGTGTGTTACTGTTTATTGTTTATGTGATTTATATTAATTGTATTGTATTGATTGTTTTTGTTATTGCTATTGCTTTTGTTATTGATATACTGTGGGCTTGGCCTCATGTAAGCTGCACCGGGTCCCTTGGGGAGATGGTAGCAGGGTATAAATAAAGTATTATTATTATTATTATTATTATTATTATTATTATTATTATTATTATAAAAGTTTTTGGTGGTAGTTACTCTTAAAAATGTACCTGTACACACTTAGATACAAATTTAGCTTAAGAACAAACCTACAGAACCTACCTTGTTTGTAACCTAGGGACTGCCTATGTTCCAGAAGCTAAAATGGTGATTTGACCACAAGAACTAAATGTAATGGAGAAAATTAGAATAACTTAAAGCAAGAGAACTATCAGAGTTATATTTGTATAAAGTTATGTGGCTGGTGGGTGCATATAGATCTGGGAATAGTAAATGTAGTAATGCACCCTGCGGGGTGAGAAGGGCGGAATATAAGAACTGTAAATAAATAATAATAAATAAATAAATAAATTGTACCATTTAAAAAAAATTATTAAAAGAATAAAATAAAATAATTTTAAAGTAATATTAAAAAGAAGCTAAAATGACCTCTTTGACATATCAGATTCAGTTTATATATGCACATTATAAATATGCCTTTATACGTGTGCAGTTTAGAGCAAATACGATAATACAGAAATTCAAAGCTAATGTTCAGGTGTCAACTAAAATGTGATAATCTAGATCAGTGTTTCCCATAATTATAGCTTTTAACTGAGAAGCAGCAATAAACTCATGTTATTTTCATTTCCCCATGTTGCTCATCTTAATTATATATTAGATCTGATTCAGGGACATTGACTTTTCTCCAGCCATTGTAACTAATAGTATTTCTGTGTATATACTGTTGTGTGTACAGAAACTTCTATATTCTCAGATTGACTTCTTAATGAAATTCCTTTAGCTATTTTTAGTTTTTATTTAATTGGTACAGGCTTCCAAACAAGTAGTTAAAACCTCCTGCCTTTATTTCCAAGCATAATTAGTCAATGAGTTGCTGTGAGTTTCCTGGGCTGTATGGCCATGTTCCAGAAGCATTCTCTGGAAGAACACTCAGAAACAGGAGAATTCCAGACAGGAAACAATCAGAGCCAGCTAACACCTCCCAACAAAGGACCCCCAGGCAGCAACCAGCCAGACTTTGAAGCTAAGAGGCCATTAAATGCTAGTCAATGGGGCCGATTGTAACATTCACACTTGCCTCAAACAGACAAAAGTTCTTTCTCTCACCCTGAACATTCCACAGATATATAACCCCTCTTCCCTAGTTTCCAACAAACCACACAACCTCTGAGGATGCCTGCCACAGATGTGGGTGAAATGTCAGGAGAGAATGCTTCTGGAACATAGCCATACAGCCCGGAAAACTCACAGCAACCCAGTGATTCCGCCATGAAAGCCTTCAACAACACATAATTAGTCAAACTATTATATCAGATTTGAGATCTGTGAGAACACAGAGATTAATTTACCAATATTTCCACTAGTCATAAATTGAGTAAAGGCTAATAGATATCTGATTCTGATTGGATTCTCAGTCATGTATTCCATAAGTTGGTGATTGGTGTGGCATATGATTATTTTAGTTTTAATAAAGTTTTCTTATTCAGTTGTTTGACTAAATGTATCTTCTTTTGTCTAATGAGGTAATTGGTTATTTTTCTTTATACAGAGGGAAATTGCACGAAAACTTGCTAATCCTAAGCAACCAACCAATCCTTTCTTGGAGATGGTAAAATTTCTTTTAGAAAGAATTGCCCCTGTACACATTGATTCTGAAGCCATTAGGTAAGTGCCACTGAGTGCCATTGCAGAAATAGTTTTTGCATTTCAGCTTTTTGTGAACAGAGAGCACACAGTTGTGGAGTCTGGATATCACTTTCCCTCATCCTTCCATGCACAGTTTTCTTTTGGTTTCATCTGCTGAAAAGCTGTCAGAATTGAAATGGTTATAATGATCGCAGAGAAGAGCAATTTGTGATGATGTGGGTTACATTTCTCTCCACTCAAAAGGAGGCAGGAATCATGCATCACAATAGAACTATGAAAAATAATCCTGTCCTCCCTCCTGTTAAATCATTTTACAATTCTCCATGATGCTGTCTTTTCATGGTTAGTGTGTGTGTCAATCAAACTTATATTCAACGAAGCCATCACCATTTAATTTTTGAAGTTTCCATTTTGTTTCTTCTGTCATCAACAAGGGACTGAATGAGGGCAAACAAATTTAAACTTAATCCGTATACAGCAGAGGTGCTCTTAGTAGTTGAATAACAGATTAGGAAATAGGAATTCATCCTGTGTTAGGTGGCATTGAAGTGCAACTTTGAACCTGAAAGCCCAGATTTCTGCAGTGACCAGGAGTGGTATTTCACGTTTAAAACTTGTGTGCCCAATTGCACCTGTTCCTTGAAACTGTGGATTTTTACATTCTGTTTCAACAACTAATGCACTATGCATGAAGTTCCCTGTGAAGAGTGTTTGGAAATTTCTGCTAATATAAAGAACAGCTAGAAAGTGTACTGGAGCAAATTACAGGGATTAGGCTACTCCCTTCTTATAGTGAACCACTGGCTGCCAGTTTGTTTTTGGGGACAATTCAAAATGCTGTTTGTGACCTACAAACCCTATATTCCATATTTCCTCTAATAATCTAATGTTCATCTTTTTTTCGGCTGGATTTGATGGTGCGTTAGAATTGCATACGTAAACCCATCTGCGTTCCTCCATCAGGCTGAGACTGGCAAACTCCTCATCCTGATGGTGGGGCATGGATTCCCAATGGACCTCATTCACTAGACCAGGGGTCCTCAAACTACGGCCGCGGGCCGGCCCCCTAAGGGCATTTATCTGGCCCACGGGGTGTGGAGAAGGGTGTAGAGAAGGCGGGGAGGCGGCGGGCAAAGCAGTTTTGGGGCCGCTTTGCCCGCTGCCTTCCTGGGCCCAGCTTGCTCTTCTCCTGCCTTCAGGACAGGGCCTCGCCTCATCCCGAAGGCAGGAGAAGGGGGGGAAGGTGGCAGGCGAAGCAGTTTTGGGGCAGCTTCGCCCACCGCCTCCCTGGGCCCAGCCTGTTGTTCTCCTGCCTTTGGGACGGGGCCTCGCCTCATCCCGAAGACAGGAGAAGGTGGGGGGCGAAGCGGCTTTGGGGCCGCTTTGCTTGCCACTTCCCCAAGTTTATATTTGTAAAAATTGTTCTTCATTTTAAATATTATTATTGTTTTAAAGTGTTTTTGCACTACAAATAAGATAGGTGCAGTGTGCATAGGAATTCATGTTTTTTTCAAATTATAATCCAGCCCTCCAACAGTTTGAGGGGCTGTGACCCAACCCTCTTTAAAAAGTTTGAGGACCCCTGCACTAGACCTTCAACATCTCCTCGGATTGGAAGGTTTTGCGAATGAGGACTTAGTTGAGAAGTTTGCCAGACTCAGCCTGATTGAGGGCCATAGCTTTCTCATGCATATTGGTCATTCCAAGGCAAACTGCAGAAAGGTTGACAGGCCAAGGAGAAGCTGTCTGTACAACAAATCGTTTTTAAAACTGAAGTATTTTAAATAGTCATTGTCTTGCTAATTGTATTTTGTGAACTCTTTTAATACTATAGTTCATTTAATTCCAGTTTAAAGTTTACTTTTACTATGCTTTTAGACACATTGTTTGTCGATTGTACCGCTTCTTGAGTCCCAATTTTGGTGACAAGGCAAAATAGAAGTACGTAGTTGTAGTTGGTAAAGGGAACTGAAGTGAGATCTTCAGATTCTGGACTTTGAAATAAAATTGGATAATAACAGGGAATAATCTATATAAATAAAAATGTAATGTTTGTTTGTGGGATTAACATAACTCAAAAACCACTGGACGAATTGACACAAAATTTAGACACAATACACCTATCACTCATAAAAACACCAAAGAACACAACAGAAGAGACTTAAAAGGCCAAAAAAGCAAAAAGATACTACCGCGCATGCATAAAAACAATTCCCCCGGCAAACAAAACACACAAAAGCATATCCACACTCTCTTTAGGACTAAAGCTCCCAGCATCCCCTAGATCAGGCCCTTTAGGGGAGGAGGATGCTCCAAATGCACTGCTTCCGAGATGCAAGCTTGCTTCCCCTTGGATTTCTTTGAGAGCATCCCAATCCATACATATTTCTTATTCCTGGACTGCAGCTCTCAGCAATCCTCCAGATAGATAAGATATATAGATTAGGTAGAGATAGATAGTAGGTAGATAGATAGATCAATCAGGAAGACTGCTGGAAGTTACAGTCCAAGAATAGATAGAGAAGGAGAAAAGGGAGGGAAAGGAAGAAGAGAAGGAAAGAAAAAAAGGGAAGGAAGGAAAGAGAGGAAGGGAAGGATGGAGAGAAAGAAGGAGAGAAAGATGGAGGGAAGGTTTTCCACAGCAACGCGTGGCAGGTAAAGCTAGTAATAATAATAAAACTTTATTTATACCCCGCCACCATCTCCCCAAAGGGACTCAGTGCGGCTTACATGAGGCCAAGCCCAGTAATACAACAATGCAAATATACAACATAAAAATACAACCACAAAATAGAAGAAAATAAGATAAAATACAAGAAACAGTATAAATAAACACATCAGAACAATATAAAATTACAGTTTTTGAACACAGAAAGTGATCTAAAAAATAAAAAAAAATTGCAATTGGATACACAAAATCAACTATGTTGTGGTTTGGAAGTCAGCAAGAGATTGATTGTTTTCAAATAACACTATGTAACAAGATTAGAAAAAAATGTTCCTGGCTTGAAATTGTTATTCCTGTTTAATTGTGCAGTGCTTCCTTTGAAAGTAGTTGTTACACTCCAGAAACTCCGTATTTATGATTGCCACAAACTATGTTGAATTGTTTGAGACTCAATGAGATTGTCATTGAAAAATGTGCTGCAGGATGTCCTACAAAAACAAAGTTTATGCAGTTTAATAAACTTTTTCCATGTTTTTATCATGGAACCAATTAGAAAATGACATTCATAACCTAGGAATAAAAATCGTGTTACATAGTGTAACTTAAATGTGCAAAATTTAGCAAAATTGAAGGTAAATTATCACTAAGCCTAGATATGTTTGAGCATGTATATATGATTTTTTTTACGAATTTTCTTAGTGCATTAGTAAAGCTGATGAATAAATCAATAGAAGGGACAGCTGATGATGAAGAGGAAGGTGTAAGCCCAGATGCAGCTATTCGTTCAGGGCTTGAACTTCTCAAGGTAATTCCTGTAAAGTCATCTAACTTACTTGCATTTTCAACTATTTTGATAGGATTTCTTGGAAGGATTCAATTGCTGCTCCTTAATTTTTTTTAATTGTTTCTTTTTATTTTGGTTACGTAACAAACATATTCCAAAACAACACACTTCACAGTATATATAAGCTTTATACAGTATAAAAATATTCATTTAAATAACACACAAGCAAATTAACACAAATTAAAGACACCCTTTAAAAAAAATCTCAATATTCCTCATTTTACCATTCAACCTTTTATCATTTGTACATCATTGTATATCATTTGTCTCAAAATTCTGTTTTCATAATTTCAAACTCTTATAACTTCTTGTATAATCATCATCAAAAAACTTTATATTTTGTAGATAAAAATTTAATGAATTCAGTCTTTGGGCCATTTGGAGCATATATATTACATATCAAGATTTTCAAACTACCCATCAAAATTTTAACTGCAACACATCTTCCTTCCACATCCTTAAATACCAATTCCGGTGCCAAATTTTCCTTTATATATGTGACTACTCCTCTTTTCTTCTTTTCGTATGATGAATAAAATGTCTTGCCTAATCTTTTATTTTCCAAATGTGCCACATGCTTGTGGCAAATATGCGTTTCTTGAAGTAATATGATGTCTAGATTTGCCTTTTGTAGTTTTCCAAATATTTTTTTCCGTTTCTGGGGCGAATTCAGACCGTTGATATTATTCGAGAGGCATTTAATTTGTCTTTCCGCCATTTTATCCAAGTAAATCTGTATCTTGTCCTGTATCGCCGAGGTTCAGTTCTGAAATTCCTTGTGCTGTCACATCCGGTCCATAAGCTCCTTCTCCTAGATCTTCTGATGTTGGTACGCCACTCCCATAACTTTTGCTGAATCGCCTGTATTCTTCTGGAGTCTCAATTCTTGGTTTTTTCTTCTCTTTACCATTGCCATTTCCATTTCCCGGTGTCAATGCCTTTTTATCTCCTTTCCTTTCTCCAGGTTTTTCATCTTCTGATTCCTTCATTAAATTCTCGTAAAAAGTCTTGGCCTTCTGCTCCGATGTCAACCAATATCTTTCTTCTTTATATGTTACCATAATACCTTCGATTCTTTCCCATCAGAATCTAATTGATCTTTTCTTAAGTTCATCCGTAAGGAAGTAGTACTTTCTTCTTCTGCTTAATGTCGCTTGAGGGTATTCTTTCAGAACTGCAATCTTGGTCTCTTTATAGTAAATTGGATTCTTGTTACTTCTATATAGCACTTCATCTCTAGTTTTTTTCCGTGTGAATTGTACTATCACATCTCGTGGCGTCTTATTTTTCCTTGAGTAAAATGAGGATACTCGATATATTTGGTCTAACTCCACCTCCAACTCATCTTCTTCACATTCTAGACATTTTGCAATCAAGTTTGTCATCAACTGACCAATATCCTCCTGTTTCTCTTCTTGAATATTTCTAAATCTTAGGTGGTAGTCCATTTGTTTTTGATCTATTTTTATCTACAAAATTGAGAGAAACAGAATTTGATGAGCTCTTATTGATAGGAGATTTTAATGGAGTGATGGATAAGAAGAAAGACAAGAATAGGTCAAAAAGAAATGGAGATGGAGGGGGGCTGCTACCGCAAAAATTTTTCGAACTTCAAAAAGAGTTTGATCTGGAAGATACTTGGAGAGTGAGAAATGAAAAGAAACAGGACTATATCTTCTACTCTTACCGACACCAAACATGGTCAAGAATAGATATGGCGTGGACTACAAAAAACTTAGCTACTAAGGTAGTAGAAATGGAAATATTACCGAGAGATATCTCAGATCACTGTCCATTGGAAATAAAAATAAATTATAAGAACTTTCAAAGAAAATGGAGACTAAATGAAAACCTGATTAAGACAGGAAGATAAAATATATTATAATAAAATTATTAAAGATTATTTAGAAATCAATGATATTGAAGAGACAAAGACACAAGTAATGTGGGATGCGCTGAAGGCTGTGTTAAGAGGTTGCCTCATTCAACATGGAGCCAGGAAAAATAAAGAAAGAAATAAACAAATGAATGAAGTGATGAATAAAATTGTGCATAAAGAGACAGAGTTAAAAAAGAAACCAGACAGCAAAAAATTGAATAAAGAATTAGCGAGACTTAAACAGGAGAAGTCCCGCTTGGAGATAGAAAGACAAGCAAGAGAGCTAAAATTCTTGAAACAGCAAACGTTTGAGAATGCGAATAGATCTGGGAAATGGTTGGCGAGACAAGTCCGGAAGAAGAAGCAGGCCACACAGATAACGAAAATAATTGAGGGAGATAGAATACTTACGACGGATAAGGAAATCATGGAAGAATTTAAGAAATACTGTAGTAAATTATATACCAGTGATGGAATAAAGAAAGAGGAAATTACTGAATATATAAGTCAATTGAAACTACAAAAAATCTCAGAGGAGATACGGGAAAAGCTGAATAAAGAGATTACGGAAGAAGAGATAGACAAAGCAGTGAATAAAATGGATGCAGATAAGGCCCCAGGCCCGGATGGATTTACAGCAGGATTTTATAAATCAACGAAGAGAACTCTATTACCAATACTGAAAAGGGTCCTGAATGAGGCATTATTGCATCAGATAATTCCAGATTCTTGGAACCAAGCTGAAATAGTAATGATACACAAAGAAGGTTCAACACCAGAGGATATTAAGAATTACAGACCTATTTCCCTACTAAATGTAGATTACAAAATATTTATGAATATTTTGGCAACAAGACTAAAAGAATTTTTGACGGATTGGATAGGGGAAGACCAAACAGGGTTCCTCCCAGGAAGATATATGAAAGATAATATACGGATAGTTTTGGACTTGATAGAATACTTTGAAGTGAACCATCAGAAGGAAGCTGCCATTTTATCAGTTGACGCGGAAAAAGCATTTGATAATCTAAATTGGGACTTTTTCAAGATTTTGATTCAAGAATTGGACATGGGGGCAAAATTCACAAATGCAATTAATGCCATTTATGAAGTACAAAGAGCAAAAATTCAGATAAACGGCCAACAATCTGAAGAATTTACAATTACGAAAGGAACGAGACAAGGATGTCCGTTATCCCCCTTGATTTTTATTATGGCATTGGAACCGCTGATGATGAAAATAAGAGAAGATACAAATATTAAGGGAGTAAGAGTAGGTAAATACGAATATAAGATCAAAGCCTTCGCGGACGATCTGTTAGGAATTGTGGAAGACCCAACAAATAACCTTCAGAATTGGATAAAGAAAATGCATGAGTTCGGAAAAGTGGCAGGCTTCAAAGTGAATAAAGGAAAAACAAAAATTTTAACTAAGAATGTAAAGAGGGAAAATCAGGAGAAGATAGTAATGGCTACAGGAATGGAAATTGTTAAAAAAATAAAGTATTTGGGAATTTGGATAACTGCAAAGAATGGCCAATTGCTGAAGAACAATTATGAAATGGCTTGGAGTAAGATACAGAAAGACCTCAAGAATTGGAAATCACTGAAATTATCCTTATTAGGAAGAATAGCATTAATTAAAATGAATATATTGCCAAAACTATTGTTTCTATTTCAAAATATACCCGTAATCAGAAATCAAATAATTTTTAAAAGCTGGAATAAAGAACTACTGAAATTTGTGTGGAATGGAAAAAGACCTAGAATTAAATACCTAAATTTAATTGACAAAAGAACAAGAGGTGGACTGGGTTTCCCAGACCTAAAAACCTATCATGATGCATGCGCTCTACTATGGATAAGAGACTGGATGTTGCTAGAAAATGAAAAAGATTTGAATTTAGAAGGTCATGACCTACGAGTAGGATGGCATGCCTACACGTGGTATGACAGAGAGAAAAAAGAAAAAATTTTGGAAATCACTTCGTAAGAGCATCTTTGCTAAGAGTATGGATGAAATATAAGAATTATTTCTATAATAATACGCCATTGTGGGTCTCCCCAATGGAGGCACACCAAAGAAGACTATTAGGTTGGAGAGTGTGGCCAACTTATAAAGATATTTTAATAGAGAAGACAGCTGAAATTAAGACTTACCAGCAACTAAAAGAAAAAAATAAGAATCTGACATGGCTGCATTATTTACAAATGAAAGAATACATTAAGCAGGACAATAAGATAGGCTTCACCTGGGAAGAAACATTGTGGGACAAAATTTTGAAGTCAAAGAAAAAAGTAATTTCATTAATTTACAATACATTGCTAACCTGGCTAACGGAACGTGAACAAGTCAAACCATGTATGATAAAATGGGCAGAAAATATAAGAAGACCTATACAATTTAGAGAGTGGGAACAGATGTGGAACAAAAAGATGAAATATGTTTATGCAACAGATTTAAAGGAGAACTGGATAAAAATGTTCCACAGATGGTATACCACTCCAAAGAAGTTATCTCTAATAAACAAAAATGCTTCCGATAAATGCTGGAAAGGATGTCAACAGACAGGTACTTTTTATCATATGTGGTGGACATGTAAAGAAGTAGTAAAGTATTGGTCAATGATACATGAAGAATCACAAAAAATTTTGAAAAAAGTTTTTAAGAAGAAACCGGAATATTATCTATTAGGTTTTACAGATATGGAACTACAATTACAGGAAAACGAGGACAGACTTTTTACTTATATTACGACGGCAGCAAGAATTACGTTAGCAAAAGTTTGGAAACAGGACAGTATCCCTACCAAGGAGGAATGGTTAGGGAAAATCAGAGAAATAAGAGAGATGGATGAATTAACTTTTTTTCTAAGGAAAAATACCGGAAACCCGATAAAGAGGACAGATTGGACTTTTTATAGTTACGAGAAAGAAGATAGCAAATAAGAGAACTATTTTAAAATAAAGGGAACATTTTTTTTGGAGACAAAACACCTGATGTGGAGATGGAAGTCAAACCTTTTTTATTTTAATATAGTTTTTTTTTTTTTTTCTCTCTCTCTCTCTTTATACTTTTTTTCCTACTGTTCTATCCTCTTTTGAATGTTCACCCTCTTTCGTTGTATTTAAGATATAACCTAATAAAAATTATTCAAAAAAAAAAAAGAATGGAAAATGGAATGTTGAAAGACAGGAAAAGAGATTTAAAGATGGGCTCAAAGCCAACCTCAAAAACTCTGGCATAGACACTGAGAGAGAAGTGGAAGCCCTGGCCCTTGAGCGCTCCAGCTGGAGGTCAGCTGTAACCAGCAGTGCTATAGAACGTGAAGAGGCACTGTGCCATCACACCCAGACCCTATAACATTAAAACTAAGATGTGCTTCTCTCTTTATCTGGGTGAACCGCTGGGGGTCTTTCTTTGAAGCAATAACGCAATACTTTCAGCAACTGATGCCAGTCAAGATATGAACATCAACAAAATATTTATTTCCAAAGTCCTTGGCAGACTTGGCACAGCTTGATAAAGTTGCAACACAAACAGTCAATTTGAGAAACCATAGAGATGTTCTTTCTTTCCCTTTTTCTTCAATTACTGAGGTAACCTTTCTCCAAATAGTAGAAAAAATCCTGAGATATTTCACCCTAACCCTGAGCTGCTATTGTTAGAAAGAACAGGTCTTCCCCTATCTAAGCACAAGGTCAGTTTTGGAGATGAAGTAATGCTCAATAGTACTCAATAACAATTTCTCTCTATTTCTCAATATCTCAATATCTTAATATCTCTCTCTCTATAACTCAATAGTACTCACAATGGGTTTTTCAGAGCTCCCTGCCTGACCAACAGCACATCTGAGGTTCTTTTCTCTACTGAAGGAGGCAGGGGAGATTCCAAAATGGAGATCTCAACCCCAGGAAAAAGGGCGGACTCCAAACCCAAAGAGATACTTTCTAAACCAATAACTGCAGAGGGCCTGCAGACTGGCTTTCCAGACTCTGATACTGTTTAACTTCCAGGGTGCTGCTGGGTCTGTAGCAACCCTGGGGAAATGCAAAGGAATGCTATCCCATGCAGCTAAAAGGCAATGTAAACCATGCTCCTGGAAGACGGAAAAGGCACGAACAGAGGGCAAAAGAGAGAAACATGCCAAGAGGAAGGCATGTCAAGCCAACCCTGACCAGGACCACCTTCCACCTGAAAACCAGTGTCTTCACTGTGAGAGAAGATGAGGATCAAGAATAGGTCTCCACTGTCACCTACGGACCCACTACCAAGACATCACATCTGGAAGACAATCATCCTCGAGCTACGAGGGATCGCCTAAGTAAAAGTAAGTAAGTAAGTGTCTTTTGCTTTCCACTTAGGGTGTGTTGTACTGCAGCCATGAGAGTGAAAGAAGGGTGAGTGTTGAAACGCGATAATGACCAGGCGGGAAGCAGGCATAGAAGTGAATGATGATGATGACCCTTTATTGTTCTCTAAGCCAAGCTTATATAGGTTTTTGTGCTCTTTAGCAAAGTCTGCATAGCAACAGTGGGGGATTACATAATTGTCAAGTGATTGGTTGGACTCTCAAGGGTGAGGTAATCTGCAGGTAAGGTCAGCAACAGGTGATGTCATCCTTCCTGTCTTCAAGGGTAGTGTCCATACATGGTCAGTTGGTTAGGAACAGTGTATGCATCTGGGGAGGGCGGCCTGCCTCCAGTCCCAAGTCATGATGTCCTGTATACTTAGCCAGAATGGTGTGGAGCATAAGTGTCAGGGGTCTGGAATTTCTCATGCGCGTCCAGACTAGAATGGCTTGCCAGTAAAAGCCCAGAGGCGCATTGTCACTTCAATGGGACATAATAATGTCATCACTCCTTCAGGTGAGAATGCTTGCTCATCCCATACGGATGGCTGATGCCATTTGAGCACATCAGCAAAAAAACAATCAGCTCCTTTAGCAACATGCCTGCACAAGCTTGCTGATGTGTCTCCTTGCCACTTCAGGCCAGTTTGCTAGGCAGGGATCAAACAGCTCTGTTCTTTAGTTCAGAAATCCAAGCATCCTGCAGGAAACTGAGCTGAATGCAAACAAATACTAATAAGATTCCTGCTGAACGCGAAGCAGGTGGAAGGTGCTGCCTGAGAAGATCAGTATACTTGAAAGCAGTACTAACTTCTGTTTCTTCTTCTTCTTAAGGCTTATTCCTATGTGGTTGTATTTGGTGATGCTGTCCTTGTTTCTCCTGCAGTTCAAGAACTTTGATGTGAATGTTGCTTCTTGTACTCGATGAAGTATTTCATTGCATTTAGTCAGGAGAAGCTATTTGCTGCAGGAATCTGAAGACATGCTTTGAAAGACCCAGCTTAATTCCTACTGTGCTGGTACCGCTGTACCAGGAGCTTCAGCTTCATTTTCTTTCTATTGAAGAACTTCCTTACGGTGAGAGCCGTTAAGCAGTGGAACTCTCTGCCCCGGAGCGTGGTGGAGGCTCCTTCTTTGGAAGCTTTTAAACAGAGGCTGGATGGCCATCTGTCAGGGGTGCTTTGAATGCAATTTTCCTGCTTCTTGGCAGAATGGGGTTGGACTGTATGGCCCATGAGGTCTCTTCCAACTCTTTGATTCTATGATTCTATGAGTGTTTGCATATATTCCAAGGTTCCTTGCATTTGCAACAAGGTGGCTTCCCTTGGTTTGCAAATATAGGGCCAATGACCTGTCTATCATTGTTGAGTTTTGATTCCACCCCCTTTTCCAGGGCTCTGGGAGGGAAAGGGAACCATTTTTAGTTCAGTCCTATAGTGGAAAGATTAGCTACAGGACGTGGATCAGCTCCATTTGTAGACAAGCTTCGTTTCTCACAGCATCCGGGGGAAACAGCTCCACATCTTTTGTGGAAAAGATCCAAAAGAACTCCAGCTGGAGAATCTACAAGCCTTGGCTGATAGGTCTACTTGGGTAACCAGAAACAATTGGAGCCGGGAGTGGAGCCCACACCAGCAAGCATAGAAAGTAGATTGCTTGGGAGGGGTTAAAAAGAGTGTTCCTCTTAAAGAAAAGAAACAGTTCACAAAGCCAGTTCCCTGTCCATTTGGGCAAGTTAAGAAGCATTTGTTTGACTTGTTGAAGATCTGAGAAGTGTTTGTTTAAATTGTTGAAGATCTAAGCAATAATAAAGGACTTTGTTAAACTTTTCAAGCATCTAAAGACTTTTGTATAGGAAAATCCTTAGGGCCTCTCAACCAAGGCAACCCGGTTTCCCGCTGGGCACAAAGAGCACGTTCTGTTCAAAAGACAATGATTATAGGCCCAGCGCGTGACAGCACACCTACTATGATAACTTTCTTCTTGTGCTCTGCCTCCATCTCCTCGAAGGGGCTCGAGGTGGCTTACACAGAGCATAAAATAAACACAGTACAATACAATAAAGGAAAACATCTGGAGAGAACTGAGAAACCAAACAACTATGGATCTGAATCAAACTTGGCACGAATACTCAATATGCCTAAATTTGGGGGAGTTTAGGGAAAACAGTCCCTGACATTTGGGAGTTGCAGTTACTTGGAGTTATAGTTCACCTGCCATCAAAGAGCATTCTGAACACCAGCAACAATGGAATTGAACCAAATTTGGGATATAAAACTCTAATGATCAACAATACTGGAGAGGTTTGGGAGAGTTTTGGAGAGGTTTGGCAGTGCCTTAAAGCAGGGGTGTGGCTTCTTCTTCATATTCCTCCTCCTCCTCCTCGCAGTCTAATCCTTCAGCCTTGCCCCTCCACCTCCCAGGAATGGCTTTGGGGGCCCTGAAAGCACCGCGCAGGGTGAGTTCCAAGCAGGAGAATTTCTGGAGAACAAGCCCTATGAGGAGCGGCTTAAGGAGCTGGGCATGTTTAGCCTGAAGAAGAGAAGGCTGAGAGGAGATATGATAGCCATGTATAAATATGTGAGAGGAAGCCACAGGGAGGAGGGAGCAAGCTTGTTTTCTGCTTCCCTGGAGACTAGGACGCGGAACAATGGCTTCAAACTACAAGAGAGGAGATTCCATCTGAATATTAGGAAGAACTTCCTGACTGTGAGAGCTGTTCAGCAGTGGAACTCTCTGCCCCGGAGTGTGGTGGAGGCTCCTTCTTTGGAAGCTTTTAAACAGAGGCTGGATGGCCATCTGCCAGGGGTGATTTGAATGCAATATTCCTGCTTCTTGGCAGAATGGGGTTGGACTGGATGGCCCATGAGGTCTCTTCCAGCTCTTTGATTCTATGATTCTATGATTTTGGCAGCAGCAATGGCAGCAGGGCAAGCCTCCCCACCTGGACAAACCCTCCTGCATTGCCCCCAGGACCCGGCATCTATTCCAGGGAATCGGAGGGGACGGGGCCAAAGGAGGCAATGTCGCGACCCTTCTGAAATGGCAAGGTGACCCCTCTGGGGGTCGCGACCCCCAGGTTGAGAACTGCTGTCCTACTATGAGGGATCGCCTAAGTTAGTAAAGCAAGCAAGTAAACTTATGGAAGGGAAAATGGATACCAAAATGTTCCGGAAGGTGTCGATACCTGGCCTGTCTTGCTTCTTGTGGTCCGAAGATGTGAGACAGTGCAGCTGTGTTTCCTTGGTCCCGTCAAAGGAAAAAATGAGATGTCTCTTTGGCAGGCAATGGCCCCAAAGAGAGCCTTACAAGGCTGGCGAAGCAACTCCCAGATGGATGGTCCTTTAATCCCTCCGGCTGAGTCCATCAATCCTTCGTCTGGAAGGGACATACACACATTGTCAAGCCGAGGCATCCAGCCTTTCATGCGAGATTTCGGGGAAAGAGTGTGCAGAGGACCCCAAGCCGTTGGAGGAGGTCCCCCAATCTCCAAGAGAGATGTGTTTGCCTTGCAGTCATCCATGATGCCCTCTGTACAAACATAACAGGGTGGAAAGAATGCAATTAAATCCCATTGTTTTTTCTAGTCCAAACTCTATCTTCCCACATATTGCCAAAGCGCAGCCAAGCCGCTGTCTCCGATTGGACATTATTATTTATTACAATTTTCCTGAAAGGAGTTATTTCTGTTTCTATTCTTATTCTGGACTACATCATACTGTGAGTCCATCTACACCAAGTATGAGGAAAACCTTAGCCCTCCAGGTGTTTTGGACTTCAACTCCCACAATTCCTAACTGGCTGTTAGGAATTGTGGAAGTCCAAAACACCTGGATGGCGGACTGAAGTTTGCTCATGCTTGATCCATAGTGTAGATCAGTGTTCCTCAACCTGGAGGTCAGGACCCGTGGGGGGTGTCAGAGGGGTCACCAAAGACCATCAGAAAATACAGTATTGGTCATGGGGGGTTCTGTGTGGGAAGTTTGGCCCAATTCTATTCTTGGTGGAGTTCAAAATGCTCTTTGATTGTAGGTGAACTATAAATCCCAGCAACTACAACTCCCAAACAACAAGGTCTATTTTCCCCCAAAACAGCGCCACTGTTCACATTTGGGCATATTGAGTATTCGTGCCACGTTTGGTCCAGATCTATCATTGTTTGAGTCCATAGTGCGCTCTGGATGTAGGTGAACTACAACTCCAAAACTCAAGGCCAATGTGTACCAAAGACGATCAGAAAACACAGTATTGGTCATGGGGTTCTGTGTGGGAAGTTTGGCCCAATTCTCTCATTGGTGGGGTTCAGAATGCTCTTTGATTGTTAGTGAACTATAAATCCCAGCAACTACAACTCCCAAATATCAAGGTCTATTTTCCCCAAACTCCATCAGCGTTCACATTTGGGCATATTGAGTATTTGTGCCACGTTTGATCCAGATCCATCATTGTTTGAGTCCACAGAGCTCTCTGGATGTAGGCATTTTCTTTTGGTCATGGGAGTTCTGTGTGCCAAGTTTGGTTCAGTTCCATCATTGGTGGAGTTCAGAATGCTCTTTGATTGTAGGTGAACTATAAATCCCAGCAACTACAACTCCTAAATGACAAGAGCAATCCTCCCAACCCTTCCAGTATTCAAATTTGGGTGTATTGGGTATTTTTGCCAAATTTGGTCCAGTGCATGAAAATACATCCTGCATATCAGATATTTGCATTACAGTTAAGAAGTAGCAACGAAAATAATGTTATGGGGGTCACCACAACATGAGGAATTGCAGCATTAGGAAGATTGAGAAACACTGCTCTCTCTAGGAGATATTCATTGAAAAACTAGAGCCAAATCTGCTGCAGGATGTTCGGCAAGGACAAAGTTTTTGTAGTTTAATAAACTTTCCCCATGTTTTTATGATAGAGCCAATTAGGAAATGACATTTATAACCCAGGAACAAATATCGTGTTACATAGTGTAATTAATCCCAGTTCTAACATGCTGGGTTGCCATGCCTAAGGTTTCCCAAGCTATTATTATCATCACCCCGTTCTAATTGTCTTAGATCATTACAATTTGGCTTTTACAGTGGTTTTATAAATTACATTTGCTCTCAAATGCATAATTACAGCATCAAATTACAGCTGGGAATTCTGTGCCATCAGAAATACAGAGTGCAGCAGAAGCGTTTGGGAAACAGACTCGAAGTGCATTCAGCCTCCTTATCAATAACTTTTTTTTTGTCGCGTCAGGATCAAGTCGCTTCTGGTGTGAGAGAATTGGCCATCTGCAAGGACGTTGCCCAGGGGACGCCTGGATGATTTTGATGTTTTATCATCCTTGTGGGAGGCTTCTCTCATGTCCCCGCATGAAGAGCTGGAGCTGATAGAGGGAGCTCATCCGCCTCTCCCCGGATTCGAACCTGCGACCTGTCGGTCTCCAGTCCTGGATGATGGAATAGAAGAGGCACCATGAGCAACTTTGAGTCTCCTGGTGGAGAGAAAAAGAGGGGTATAAATAAACATCATCATCATCATCATCACCATCATCATAGTGCTTATCAGATATAGAGATGACACCAAATTGGGAGGACGAGCTCAAACTCCAGAGGACAGGTTCAGGATCCAAAATGACCTCGACAGATTAGGGAGATGATTGACCAAAACTAACACAATGAACTTGAACAAGGAGAAATGTAGGTACTACAGTTAAACAGGAGAGAAAGAATTAGATACGGGATGGGTGATGTTTGGCTTGACAATAATCCATGAGAAAGGGATCTAGGAGTCTTTGGAGATTCAGAGGCACGAATGGAGGGCGAAAGGTAGAAATGAGCCAAGGAAGGCATGTCAAGCCTATCCCAACCAGGACCGCCTTCCACCTGGAAACCGATGTTCTCACTGTGGGAGAACAC